CGAACATTATCGTACTTTTATCGTGTACAAATGTCTTTCTTCCACGAAATATTTTCAATAGACTCTACAGGACTATTTTTTTCTAATTAATTACATTTGAAACTCACTTTTTTCCGCCCTGAAAAGAATATTATTATATTTGTGAGACGATATCTATTAAGCTGACGTAGATAAGAAAACAACAAGCCTTTCGATATTTCAAATTAAAAATCATGTTGTTAAAAGAGGTAATCTGACGTTGGACCACGACTCCCTTGAATCTTTGTCTAACGTCACTCCGTCCTCGCTCTCAATTTTGATCGAATTTTAATTTCATTGCAAGTGACTGTACCATGTACTTATCTTTAAACATACTGTATACTGAGATCAGTGTCCTTACAACACAGTTGTGCACGATTGGCTTAGTATAAACAAAGTTTTAGTAAGTTTTATGTTTTTTGTATGGTAAATAAATAGTAGTAACAGATATATCAATATCACACTTGTTTGCATAGCCTTTGTAGTCTATTCATTAATAACTTAACTCTAATCGCACAAAACAAAATAAAAATGACTCACGCAGTCCTTGACAGTATTTTTTTGCCTTCTAACAGAATCCGAATAATTTTGTGTGATATCTTTGAGTTTCAATCGTAAAAAAATAGAAGTAGGTGTTGACCTTAGAGATTATAATATCATTTGCAGATGAATAATATAGAAACCATCCATTAAGAACCCACCTAAATATAAACACTAGGAAATATCGAAGTATGACTAAGAATATACAATCGAGAAAGAAGAAAGAATATATTGGAATACGTAATTACAACTGACTCCATACTATTTAATTTAAATTTACAGAGTATGACTGCTATTGGGTTACGTACTATTGTAGGTATCGCCGCACGTCAAACCAAGTACCGTTGTACCTCAAAAATGATGGAATTGAGAAAACACTATTGAAAGTTCAAAAAATTACAGAATGGACCCAATAAATTAATATTCTCGTTTATAAGTCGATAACCAATAATTATGTATAAATAAAAATAATCTTTTTATTCCCTATAAGATTCATGTAGTTTTCTATAATTTTCAAATAGTGTTTTCTCAATTCCATAGTTTTTGAGTTACGACAGTTTTTGGGTTTATGTGCAATATCCTGACACCACATAACCCAAGTTTTGTCAATAAGGACTAAATTTATAAGTAGGTAGTTTTCCTTCCGCTGCTCGTATGCCACACACCGGAAGCGGCCACGTGATTCACATGTACAAATGTGCACGCGTTGACTGCCCATTGTCTACCACTCCATAAACTAGAACCTTGTCCACGCCTGGCGCTGGGACATCATAATATTACAAATGCGTCACTGTAAAAAATAGACTGTGAGTACAAAGATTGTGATTACGTAATTAGTTGAGCGAGGATTTAGCGACACCTTTTTGTTCCACCGTGTACCTACATATATATGTGTAAGCGTAAAATATGCATACGGGGTACAATTCAATATAAATGTAAATCTTCTTCATTGAACAATTTTTTTGTAGTAAGTCGTAGTGTTTGCATTTGTAAGTAATTGATTTAACACCAGACTTAGTTATTTCTTTCGTTTATTTTTTTTCGTTTATTCTTTTCATTTAATCTTTTTTTCTAAAAAGAAAGCGCATTATGTTGTGCGAAGACTGTAACCACCTACGGAGAAACACGGTAAAGAAATGGGTTGCAGTAGGTAGGTTAGATTTAAGAACCACTGTAAATTATTTTGTTTTGGATAATAAATGAAAAATGTACCTCCAACGAAAACATATACATATATGTATGGCTATAAAAATAATATATATAAATTCTTCGTAGGTAAAATACCTTTTCGGCGATGGAGGAAACAAATAATAAATAAATAAATAACGCACACACTCAACATAGCCCCGCCCTGTGTCGGGGGTGCCATGGACGTGTGTGTGTGTGTGTGTGTTATGTGTGTACATAGACAACCACAAATTACACCCAATCACACGAGAGAAATAATTGTAGGCCATACAGCTATTTCTCCCGGTCCGGGAATCAAACCTGGGACCTCTGCGTGGCAGTCCGGCAAGGTAACCGTTCGGCCACGGAGGCAGTTAAATATCGTGAAGAAACTCAAAATAAGACGTCAGAAAAGGTTTATAGAAGAGATGTAATCAATGGACCATTGTGATAATTTATGGCCTCACTCGAGGGGGAGAGTATGTGTGAGGATTAATACGACTCTGGAGATGATTGAATTTGTTATATGAAAACTTTCTGGTTTTCCATATAAAAATAAAATTAGTTCTGATTTCTTTTTTAAAGTACTCTGATTCGCTTTCCTGTAATATTTTCCAAACGCACGTAAGACGTTTTATCTTCCCACGATCGAATAGTTTTGTGCAACATCCAGCTTTGAGTCATCATAACGCTAAAAAATTCACTTTCTGTGGACAAAATAGTACATCGTTCTGCTTCATTAGCATTCTGTAGTTGATTATCATAATGTGAATTGCTAATGCCTTATTCTTCTCTTGAACTCATTTTTGTCCGCTTTTTTTCTGCTAGGCTATACAAAATCGCAAACGATGCTATTGAATGACTTACTTACCGTTTTGTGGCAAACATGCAGAAACAAATAAATAAATCGGTTCAAAGAAATAAATCGTACTTAATTATAACAAACTAGTAGAGTAACTTCACAAAAAATAATTGAATATCAATTCAATAAAAATTTAAATGCAATTATTATTTCATATAATAAATCTTGAAATTTAAATACAAACTAACAGCTAGAGTTCATAATTGAAATTCAGTTTTCTTAAAACTCACCTGTACAAAATGCATTTTTTCCTTACTTACTTTGTTTTGACTAACATGTACTGGACGTGTCATACTCAAATAGTTTCGTCAAAAAATAACCTTATCTTCTTGACATGTTAGTGTTCCAAAAATGTCGTTTTTTGTATGTTTAACGTGAGTAGTTACAAACTGACAACGCTCTATTTATTTATTTCTCCAGAAAGGTATTGTAGCGTTTCTCTGCCCTAAGCCATTGTATCGATATGGAGAGTATACATACGTGATTAGAATTGTTAGATACAATACGTTTGATATTCTAATTATGCTTTCAATTCAAAAGTAGCTCTATTGAATTCTCACCTTTAATATGTCGGTGTGCTAGTTTCATGGTGTAAACGGATTTTAATATTTCACCGACCTCAAAAAAGAGATGAGAGTTAAAAAAAAAAAGGTCCCATGGTCAACCGTGACCATGGGACCTGTAAAGGGCCCGAAACGTCGGTTTGTTTGAAAAAACAAATATACGCGATTTAAATCCGGAAAAATAGTTTCATTTCCTATGAGAGTATGATTTTTTTGTTGGAAAGGGGGTGTCTCATAGTCGCCCCATTTATCATGAAGAAAATATTCTACCTCTAAGGGTGGCAAACTAGGGGATGAATGATTTTTGAGGTCGGTTTTTCAGTACTCTGTACTAAGATTATCTCCTTTATTTACTCTTTATCAATTCTTCACTGTGAAAATTTCGCTATTTAGCTCTTTTAAAGTTCTAAGTATATTATTTTTGTACATTACACGTTAGCTAGGAATATAAGAATTACTTTATTTGATTTGTAAAGCAGGTTAAGGGGGTAAGAATGCGCATTAAACCTATTACCCTTTGAGTTCCATACCAATTACTTGCCACACTGAATGTATCTTGGACGGTGGCAAGTGTATCTATTCACATCCTAAAATTTGTCTAATTGTCTACTATATCCATGTTAATCGATCATATTTAGAAATAAGGACAGATAAAGAGTGAATTATTTGTCATTTTCTTTGTTTCTAACTACACAACTTGGATATTTTTTAAGGTTCCTAATAATATTAGGTTCCTGGTAATACCAGCTTCATTCGCATCTTCACTTTCTACCAGCCGTGGACAATTGTAAGCTTAGCTTAAATAAAATACAATTATTTGGCAAAGTAAGAAAATTTATTATCTCGAGTAGCTGTCAGTTACAATTCAAATGTTTACAAATATGAATTAGAATAATAATGTAAATAAACAAATATTGTTTCATGTCACAAATGCTGTCTTACTTATTTACAAAGTAGTGAATTACACAAGCGCAATACATAAAATGCAGGAAAAGAGCATTAAAACATAAAACACAAAATGCATGAAAAGATGTGTTTTTTTTGTCATTACAAACATTCAAAAATCAAAACACAATAAACTAAATGTTCCACTCCTGCGTTTGTCTTCAAACATGATTGTCTTGCTATGGAAGCTGTATTGTGTCATTGTCATACCAAATTTAAAATACAAATTTTAAGAAAAAATATTGTTAGAGAGAGCTTAAAGAGCTACTTACAGATCCTTTAAATAATCTGATACATTTTCTTTAATATGACGGTATTTGATTCATATTAATGGAATATCCAGTGTCGTAAGAATATATCGGAAAGGCAGCGTAGGTTTACGTTATATACTATCGTTTTTGATTTTTTTTAATGATATCAAGTGATGGGACGAACAACTCGTACACCTGGTGTTAAGCGATACGCCTGTCCATAGCAGTTGCAGTGCCACACAGAGCTTTTAATGGCAAAGATCTGAGGGACACTGCTACTGTGCCTGTCATCTTAAAACATAAATTGACAAGGCAGATGTGCCTGTAATTTCACCAAATGATCTCATGTCGTAAAGCTGTTCGTACTCGGAATTTTGCGTTAAACTAGGACTTTACGTTAAACGTCCATTTTATCGTATTGTTAAAGTTTAGATATCAGTTTTCACTTATTTACTTGCATTGACTTACAAATAAATGGACGACGGGTCTAATACAAAAACCACGAAAAAAATGTCCCAAGTCAACCTATTTAAACGTAGTATGACATGTGAAGGAATATGAAAAAGCTAAAACGTTGAATTTAAATTGTAATGTCATCGCAGTACTGTCTAATTTTGCTTGCTTCGCTGTCAGTCGAACAAACGAAGACTAAAGCGTGAATGACGCTCTGTATACGATTTTAACGCCCTATAAGTTCGGACACTTTTTATCGCGGACCCGACGTCCATATAATTGTAAGTCAATGTTTACTTGACACTATTTGCCACACCACGTAATCTCAAGACAAAGTACAGACCTCATAGAAAGAAACGGAAAATGAATCCTTAATATCCACATAATGACTTATTATTAAAACCATTCGCTCATCGTCGAACAATCTTTCGAACGATTTCTTAAACAATAAAGTAAATGCTCAAGCCTCACATCTTCAAGCGTAATCTATGAGTACTTACTTATGTTATTATTTTATATTATCGATTAATGAGATACTTCAATCTTGTGTTGTTAGTTTTAACTAAATGGACAAGGAAAGTCCCATAATAAAAGTATAAATAAAAGAATTATTAATATTTTCCTTCTCATAAAAGATTCAGACAAAAGATTTAGTTCCTCTACAGCGAGGTCTAAGTTTTAAACCAGAATATATAAAGTCTAATTGATCTTTTAGGTTTAAGTATAAAGAATTTTCTGGATCTAAAAAGCAATAGGCTGATATTCTAAATAGAATATTTGTTATGTCATGAAAAGAATGCTACATAGCCTTAATTGAGCCATCTATATTATCTTCTATGATTAAGACTAAATAAATAAATAAGAAAGCTATTCGCAGATCTTTGATAAAATTAAGTGTTTTAAAAAGTGAAGCTCGAAATAGGTAGTTCACGATTATTTTACAGCTCTAGCGGATGCTACGAAATGAGAACTCGACACCGTTAGCTGCGCCTGCACAGGCCGACAAGCGCGGGATGCGCCATTCGCCCCCGCGCCTTAAAACGACTCATTAATTGCATGCCCAGCGGCCGAAACGGCACTAAATCCGCAACATTCAGTACGACTCTAAATGCCTGTCTAAACTAGGTCATACAAATAAATCTTACACTTTCTACAATACTTAACGGTTGTCAAATCTATCTCTAGGTAATAAATTAGCAGTACATTCGATATCACAAACGCATTTCTGTCACAGTAGCACCGCAATGAACCGCGACAGCTCAGCGGCGCGGGCGCGCCTTGCACACTGCACACACTATCCAATGCAAGCACGTCTCGATCACCGAGCCATTTAAGGTCAATCTTTATCACGCAATAGCTCTGACTTTGCACTTTTTTCATTGCCATGAAACGAAAAGTTTGGTTTGTCCTTTTGTTTGTACGCCTTATCGACTTTTGCCGAAGGTGGGTCGTTATCTTGGGCGGAAGACGATAAGGTTGGATTGGGGCTTATGTTCTCCCCCTTACAGAATTCGTGTAGCCAGCGTTCAGAATTATATGACGGTCCTTCTCCACCTAACTCGGCAGGTAGGATATCCAAGGGCAGAGAGTCATGTAGAGTCGACAAATTATTGCCATGCAACACTATCCGTTCGCGAGTTTTAGCCTTAAGGTATGGTTTGATCACCGCAAGAGCCGTTTCCACATACCACGGCTGCCCAATAAAATGTATGCTCTTAAACCGCACTGGCATGCAATCTTGTAAGCCATCAATAACTAACTTTAACACTTTTGCTTGTAAACTGCACGATTGTTTGAATGTAAACTCAGTCCAGTCCACAATGATCACGTATCCATTGGATTGGTTTTGTACATCGAGAAGTGTGCGTTCAAGGGTGAGAAGTAGAGCTCTATAGACGGAAAGTAGTGAGCAGGCATGTGGGGTCCAGTTGGATGCGAACATGAGAAGCACGCAACGTCCGCGACGGTCGCGCTCAGCCAGCACACCGGGCAGGCCGTCCGCCAGAGCGCGCAGCACGCCTCCATCCGCCGGCGCCCACAACTCAGGATGCTCTCGTCGGAACTGGTGATATCGCACAAGCAACTCGAAACTCTCTTGCACATCATGTTTTCGAGCGAAGAGAAAACGCCTTAGGAAATTGTCGTCTTGGCACCGGCTTTTGTCCCGCAGAGCGAGGTTGAGGCTGGAGTCCACGGCTTCTTTGAGTCCATCGAGTGCGCGCTGCTTGTCTCCATCACTGAGCCGTTTTCTAGAAACGCCGCAGAGCCGCTCGTCCTGTAAGTGGCGCATCCTCCAGTCATATTCGGCGTACTCGTTCATGGCTGCCGTATGAGTCATACGTCCTCTCGCGGGCGTCGTGACTGCGCGCGCGCCACTGGAGCTCGGAGCCGACTGCGCGCGCCGGCCGACCCGCCATTGCCGTGCGTTCATTAAACCGTATAGTGTTCCGTTCACCTATAGCTATCTACTTCCGCAAGTTAAACTTGAGTGGTCGGACAAGTTTCTGTTTAAATTTTTCATGTTTCGCCTAAGCTTTCCTCTTCGTTTCTCACGGTTACTTTCAAGGTCTACATTTTAGAGCAATAGTGTCCACTTGTAGAATACCCACAGCGACTTTTCAAAAAGTAGTTAATTTTAACCAATACATATGTTAAATTGTAACGTTGTCTTGAATGTTTTAAAGTTTTCACATTAAAACATCTTCAAAAACTCGCTTACTATCAGACTTGTACTGTATTGATTTATTTTGTGCAATAAATTTGAAAAATTCATAATTGACAATGAATTGTGCGTAAAAAAATATGAGTGTGTGTTAAAAAAAGTTAATTGCTGATTATCATCTCATTTACACTAGTAATGTTACACGCTTATAACGTATTGTTTAAAATAATTAATATTTTTATTTCGCACGTGTCGTACACCAAAAACACAATATCATTTAGTTTACGCTGAAGACACTTGCACGTCTGTTAGCGGTCGAGTGCTCTCAGTAGTTTGAACGCAGCATAACTTACCCAGGCAAAGCGAGGTACAAATAAATGAAAAACTGAAGGTTGACGGTATACTGGTCAATTGGCTGGTTTCTGCGATGACGTAGTCCCGGCGTGCGTAAGAGACGCAATATCACGTGTAAGCGAGATGGATGTATATTGTGACCATAGTTTCTATGAAACCTTAAATACACTTATCGCTTAGGCAGATAGGCGCAAATTGTATAACGTCCGCACTTTGTTCGCATTATAGACATAAAAACCGTTATAGGCTCGACAAAAATGCAGTTTGATACAATTTATAGGTTACAAAATAATTTTAGAAATTATTATATATAATAATCTCAGACCTGTAAAATGGTTTTTGTAGAAATGGGCGCAACTGAATTACCAGTGCAAAATATGTTACTGCTTTTATAGTCAGACTAAATGTATTTTGACCTTTTCGTAGCAGTACTGCCATCTTTCCTATTTTTACCATCAAGGAGTAATATGTTAATAATGCTCATTACTGCGTTTCAGTTTTGAAAAATAAGGGTGCATGCTGGTGAGAAACTACAGGCTTTATCAACTTTATATCTCAGGGTGACTAGACTAGATCTTTGCAATTTGAAGCTACGCCTGATGGTAAGCTACACGCCTGTCCATATCTATTAACTCCACGCCTACGGTTACGTCGATTTTGAAGGACTTTGTTCCCCGACATGGTCTACGTAATGTGTTTTTTTCAGTGTTATCATAGCAACTTGTAGAATCTTAGGAAATTAGACTATTCTTCGGATCTAAATAGCGTATATTTGTTTTTTCAAACAAACCAACGTTTCGGGCTCCTTACAAGTCCCATGTTCACGGCTGACTGAGACGGTAAAGTCATTAACCAGTTATGTTATAACCACTCTGTAAATAGTAATCTTCCTTGCAACTGTCCTAAATTAGAAAAAGCTACCACTGTCAGGTATCTGGGTGTGATTTTAGATGAACGTCTAAATTTTGTACCCTACATTGAAAACCTAACAGGCAGAATACGTGAGCTTATTATATACTTTTTGAACCGCGTATATTAACAATGGTGTATATTGCATTGTATCGATCTTTACTAGTTTACTGCATAACATCATGGGGTGGTTCATCTAAAACTCATATGCTTAGGATTGAGCGCGCTCAGAGAGCAGTTTTAAAGGTATGTACGTTCAAACCTTTTCGTTTTCCAACAAGAGCTTTATATGAATGTTGTGAGGTACTCACAGTACGCCAACTCTTTGTTCTCCAAAATATACTACGACAACACATTGTATATCCCAGTATATATACTTTCCTTCATTGCAATACAGTAGACGTGTGAATGTCATTCCCCGAAGAGTTATCTGCAAAACTTCTTTCAGCCAAAAGTTCTTCTACTTTTTGAGACGATTCTTATACAACAAAAGTAATAATATTTTAGCGTTTCATCTAAAAAATAAATGAGTGTAAGAATATGATAACCAAATGGCTTCTAAAACTGTCATATGAAGAAACAGAAAATCTTCGTCATGCTGCTCAGTGAAGTGTTTTGACACATACACACATACACACACACACACGCACACACACACACACACACACACACACACACACACACA